TCTCCCCGCCCCCGCTCCCGACGTCGCGCTTTGCGCCCCGACCAGCAGCCGACCATTGGGCCAGCGAGAGCGCCGCGCACATCCCCGCCGGCATCCTGGCTAGCCGGCCGCGGACGCGCACCGCTCTGGTTTGACTGCGATACCGACCGGAGGTAATCGGTCGAGACTACTATCAGATTGCGGTTTCGGTCCAGGGCACTGGGGGAGGGGGATGGGAGGGGCGAAGCGGGCAGGCCGCAAGTGGCCGCAAGCTGCGGCGGGCCCGCCGACTCTGACTGGCAGAGGCCGACCGGGCCCGCCCGCACTCGACGGATTAGCTATCGGAGCACTCCTCCCTCCCATCCCTTCCCCTTCAACCACCCCCACGCAGTTAACTCTACGACCCGACCGTTATTTTTTCCTCCGGCGACACATATTAACTCCGCTTCTGTGACAACTGCTGGTTTTATAGACAGGCGTCAGTGGGCCACTTTGGGTTCCCCACCCTCTCGCCTCTCCCGCGCGAACTCGATATTATGGCCCCACAGCCCTGATTCTTAACGACCTTGATCCTCTTTTGGCACTCACCTTGTTGAGCGTGGATGGCGTTTTGACGACCTGCTCGTGGACGGCGTGAGTCTGGCCCATGGTGTGCGCGTGACCCGCGGCGTGACTCGTGGCGTGACCCGCGGAGTGACCCGCGGCATGTGCCGCGGCATGGCCCGTGGAGTGGACCGCGTTGTGACCGGCTATGTGACCCGGAGCGTGACCTGGGGCGTGACCCGGGGCGTGACCCGGGGCGTGACCCGGGGCGTGACCCGGAGCGTGACCCGGGGCGTGACCTTGCGGGTGTCCCTGGGCGCAGCCCGTCACGGCGCGCTTGAGGCGCAGCTTGTTGACGTGGAACGCCGAGCCGTAGCAGTACATGAGGATCATGGTGGTGGGGAAGTAGAAGCAGCACGAGGCGAGGATGCGCAGCGAGGCCCGCGGGTAGAACGGGTCGCAGGCCAGCAGCCCCGTGTCGTTGAAGTAGTAGCCGCCGCGCGGCAGCACCAGCAGCGCGAACAGCGACAGGCACAGCACCCACGTCACCGATATGACCGCCACGCAGCCCTGGAAAAACAAAAGAAACAGGTTTTTAATCTTCAATTCATTTTGTAATAAAAACAAAAGGAACACGTTTTTAATTTTTCCAATTCAGTTTTTTTTATAGCCTTCCAGATTCCAGAAAACGTTGGAACACAATACACGGACGATTAAAGAGAGCGTGGAACGACGGCGGGTTGTGGGGGGGAAATGCTGACTAGTGAAAAAAGGAGAGGGGGTGGGGAGGGGGTCGTTTCGACTATCTGCGAAAGACGGGCGGGCTCGGGCAGTGAAGAGGCGATGGAGAAACGGTCGAGCGAAAGTGAGACGGATAGAGTAAGGGAGGTCGAGAGCGGCCATTAAATATTCAAACACGACGGCCCACCGCGCGCGCCGCAGCGCTACTTTCAATTTAGCTTTCCGGTTTTTAGTTCCGGTTCGCGGGGGGGGGGGGGGCACGGCCGCCGCACCCGGTCACTGCTGGGGGGCCTAAACCCCC